GATCCAAATTTCATCAAATCCCACAAATTATGCCAATCACCCCTTAAATACTTTGGTCCGTTGGAGCCTATTTTTCTACTATAAAATGGGGTGTTTGGGTCTGGTTTAAACATAACATTACTTCACAACTCCTACTCTTTCATTGCAAATCATTCTTTAATTATTCATAGCTTTTGAGAGCCATTTTTGTGAAGCTTGTGTTGTGTTCTTGAGCATTCTTAGTTTACTCAATATCCACTCTAAAAAGAGAGTATTGTTCTTGAGTGTTTTTAGTGTTCTTAGACACTTGACAAGAGAAGGTATTTCTCTTGTTGTTCGAAGGAAGGGTTGTTTCCTTCGAAGGTTCGTTGAGGTTCGTGTGACTCGAATTCTCAAGTTGTACGGGTTTGTTAAGCACCGTTAAGCTTAACGAGATAGTAGTGTAGCTCGAGATTAGCCACAAGTTGTGGTGAACCAGGGTAAAATCGGTGTGCCTCTTTCTTTTCTCTTTACTTCTCGCTTATTCATTTTTATTCCTGCGATTTCTTGATCAAACGCTATTCACCCCCCCTCTAGCGTTGGTCTATTATTCTAACATATATAATATAGTGCGGTTGATATTCGTAATTAATTATCCCTGAACGAGTGAAGATTGAGTTAGGTAGGTTATCAGTACATGTAACAGTTGAAGAGTTTGGTTATCTTATGGATGGTAACATCCAAGACTGAAACCGAGTTATCGGTATATGTAACAGTATGTCTGATATTCGTAATTATCCTTAAAGGAGTCAAGATTGAGTTCAATTACGTTGCCAGTACATGTAACAGTTGAAGAGTTTGGTTATCTTGGTAACACATCTCAGACAGAAACCAGGTTATCGTTATATGTAACAGTACGTTTGATATTGTATCTGTATTCGTGAACGAGTCAAGATTGAGTTAGCTAGGCCGGTTGTCGGTACATGTAAAAGAAATGGAGTTTGGTTATCTTGGTAACATCTCAGGCATAACCCAGGTTATCGTTATATGTAACAGTACATTTGAGATTGTTAATTATCGGTATATGTAACAGTATATGTACCTGAATTTGGTTACTTTTATATTGAGTAATAATAATACTTTAATGGTGTAACCGGCCTAATATTTAGCCAATATGTTAAATAAATAAATATTATTTATTTATTGAGACTCATTGTTTTAAGAAATAAATATTGAGATTTCGATCTCATTAAATGGGCTTCCAAAGTTAATGTATTTTAATAACGGGCCTCTCAACATTAATTAATTAAATTTAATTAATTAATGATTGGGATTGACTCGGAAGTTTGAAAATAAAGTTTTTTTAGAAAAACTATTTTCAAGATATCATAAATTTAGTTTTGACTGGTTATTTCCGAAAATGCAATCAGTTCTCAATTCAGGCAAGTTCGGGGGAAAAACCGTGTACCGTTCAGGTCAGACTTTACACAACGGAGTGGAATTTAGAGATGTAACTCCCTAATTAAAACCTCACGCCACTTCCCCTCCCATCTCTCCACATTCATTCACATTTTTAATTCTCCACCTCACCACCATTACTCCCCATCATTATAAATCCACTCCTCTCCTTCCATTCCTCCATCATTTTGTAACCCACTAACCATCAAACTCCCTCACTCTCCCTCTTCCTTATGGATTCCGGCTAGTAGAATCCCAGGAGACGACGGAGCTCCGGCGAAGAGAAAGAAGGAGAAGGACAAGAAGAAGGAGGAGGTGTATTTGTGTATTTGTTATGAACGAATGTGTATTTGTTACTTTATATGCACTACTACTTGGCATAACCTTTGTTGAAATCGTATGATCATAGTTTTCTCGCTATAAGGCTATATGATTTGGAACTTGTTGAAAAAGAAATCATCTAGAAATCCATTTGGAATCTAGAGGAACTCAATATTTAGATATATTTGTAAATCTTACATGCTCATTATAATTTTCAAAAGGTTGAACGTAATTCGACAGACCAATGTAGAACCCGAGTACTGTGATAGTAGACTGTCAAATTCTGATAATATACTATCAGGTGCTGATGAACTCTGACAGTCGATTATCACAAAGTGATAATCGATTAGCAGAGGCTGCGGAACGTTTGATAGTCGATTATTACTGGATGATAATCGATTATTAGGGGCTGCTGAATTTTTAGAAAGATCCGAAACCAAAATGCTTTCAAGGTAAGAATCAACAGTTGAAATATGGATTAAAAACCGGCACTTAGCTTTCAATATAAGCCTTCAGGATCATAAGTCAGGCCTCTATGAACTTGGGTTTCTTGGACAAACCAACAAGACAATCGATTGTCATAAGGTGACAATCGACTATAACAGTCTGCAGAACTTTGGGAACAGAAGCTGCACAACATGATAATCGATTATCAACAATGGATAATCGGTTATCAGCCAGTTCTGAACCTAAGGCCATCATATTGAACAAATTGTTATCATACGGAATTAAACTTATATGTGTGCGTTGAACTTAACCCCATTCATTAAGCAATGCATTCATATCATCATGTATATCCTAGACGCATGTGTAGGATCATGGCATACTTTGCATACCGCGACAAGAGGTCAGGCCTAGTGCGCCTCTTCCGCGGGCCCGTCCAGGAACCTGCAGGATCCAACAGGTTTTCATCACGAGGGCTTGTGTACGTACATGGTAGCTAGGCTTCAGCTATCACCCACATTTCTAGTCTCCATTGGGAAGACTAAGGCGTTCCTCGGCTCATCTATCGCGTGGGGATGATCACTGAAGGGCAGAGGGTCCCTGCGCAGTCTAACTCATGCATCATGAATCATTTGACATTGCATCGTTTGTAGGTAATTATAAAAATCTCAATTATCAAACTGTACGTTGTATTGCAAAACGTACCGCACTTTATATCCAACATCGTCAACGATAAGGCCAAGGTATTTATGTTTGGATAATATTCCAAAATGAATCTCCATGATATATATATGTGTGTTTCTTGTATCTTGTGATATCTACTATGCAAGTATGGAAATTATGTGGCAATGTGATGCATGGTATTTAAGTATAAATATGTTATCGATCTCTCGCGTTATCGTACCACTCAGCTTTATGCTGAGCGTGTAGTCTTTTTGTCTACACGTAGGTTGAAGCACAGATTATGTGAACCACCCGGAGGACGAAGAGACGATAGGATGGCAGGTTGACATCCATGATTTTCACAAGAATTACATTTGAAGTTTTGGGTTTGACCCACATCATTGTATTTGTTTTATTTAAGTCTTCCGTTATCTCCAACATTTTGTAAAAGGATCGATCCGAATTTAGTATTTTGTACTTGAAGTTTTGTTTTATTAATTTTATTTAATGATTTGGAAAAGTTTTAAAAAATATTTCTCCCGTTTCACCTTAATTCATATAATTCCGGGTTATACGAATTAGGGTGTTACAAATGGACTACGTTATACTTATACCAAATATTGTACCACATTTGTACACCTCATTTATACAATAATATTTTGATAGTTTACATTGACACATATGTTGGTGCGTTAAGAAAAATTTACACGGACACAAAGTGTTGGTGTTTTAAAAAAATATTTTTACACCTACTCAAAATGTTAGTGCAAATCTGCGGTGTACAAATGAGGTACAAAAACTTTGGGATACAAATTAAATAAATTTATCCTACTTTAATAACAACATTCAATTTGGACATGATAACCACTCATCTACCTCCATCCACCACCTAATAAAATCAATGACTTTTATCATGAACTGAACAAACTAGAGCCACTCATCTCCCTTCCCCTCCTTATCCGATCTCGCTGCAGACTCCAGAAAAAACCCGTCCACTCATCTCCCTTCCCCTCATTCTCTCCATTCCCATGGCCCTCTCACCCGAATCTGTTGTTGGCGGCCATGTATCTGAGAACGAATTAATTTTCATTGAAAGCGACGACGATGGTGTGGACGATTCAAAGGAGACTGAAATCATCTATTACCATGAAGAGGAAGACGTCATAATCATTGCTGGGACTAAGAAGACGCAGTTGATGCTAGACGATGGCAAGAGGTATGAGATACTCGCAATGGAGACTTCTCCGGGGATCTACAAACCTTGGGATCCGAAGACAGATGTGATGAAGTTCATGCAACCCACTTCAGATGTGAACTCTTCGATCTCAGAGATCAATTCCAGGTATGTAATTTCACATCCAATTCATAAGATTCTCGAATTTCATTTGTAATTTATGAAATTTCTACTTCATTGATACATGTGTGTTATACTTTAACCTGCTAGGATTACCGTATCAGTGTTCACTTCTAAAAGTGCATTGTGATGATTATTAGTTGAACTGGCTAATTTTTAGTTGAACTGGCTGATTTTTAGTTGAACTGGCTGATTTTTTTGTACAATATACAATAAGCTTAAATGGCTTAAATGTCTGTTGAATGATCTCACCAAATTAACAAACATGACAACTATCTTAACCATCAAGTTCATGGTGTCTCTCCTAAAATTGCATTATAGTTTAACCCTAGCAAATCAATGGCACTATCTTAACCTACGAAAATAATTTCGGTGTGCCTGATAAATTGGTTAAGGAGATGCTGGGATAATGTGTTATATGCATAGTACCAATTTGTTTAATTTCTTCTTACAATTGTGTTACACTACGTGATGATTAAATTCAAGAGCAACTCCTGACATAAATGTTTTTTTGTTTCAATTCGTTTGTTGTCCAAGGAGTAATGTGGCCATGGCTGAAGGCAGCAGGAAGGACAAAAGGAAAAAGCAGAAAGTGAGTGGTTGCTGCAGTACACATAAGAAGAAGAAGCAGGTGTAGACCAATGAACACTGCTTGCATTCCAAATTACTTAAAATGGTGGAGGGGTGTTTGTAATGGGATGTTTTTGTATGGTTTTTTGGGTGAGCAATTAAAACCCCTGCATTCCAAATTACTTAAAATGGTGGAGGGGTGTTTGTAATGTGATGTTTTTGTATGGTTTTTTGGGTGGCCAATTAAAACCAAATTGTTATTTTTGGTATGTTATTATATGTTTTGTTTTCGGAGGGAAGTTTGGAACAAAATGTTATTAGATTAAGATGTTTCTTTTGGTATGTTATTATACGTCTTGGGATTTATGTATTATTTAAAAAAACATTTCAAGGTATTCCCTTATTGTGGCTTATTAGGGATGACAATTCAACCCGAACCCGAGTTTAATCGACCCGACCGACTACTTGAATGATCTAACCAAAACCGAAAAAAAAATTATCCAAATCCGACCTGAAATTTTTTTAAAGTCAGGTTGGGTATAGTATTTTCTCCCTTATTCATCTAAGTATAAGTTATATTTTGGTGACATTTAAAGAAAAACGGTTGAAAATGCAAAATTTTCGAATTAACAGATCAACGTATAGAATTTGTTTAAAACAACTAAATTATGTTTAACACTATGAATTTTTAATGAAATACTTAGTATTAATTTTTTTGGTAGTCAAAACTTTTTGCATAATTTTTTTTTGTATATGACTTTTTGTGAATAATTTAGTTATATATAATTAATAGAAGTTTATAAGTCATTTTATTTGTGAATCTAACATTTGTTTTTTTAGTGTACATTTAGTCAAATTTGGTAGAGATTTGTACTTTTGATCCCATCAAAAAAATTAGGTGAAGTCTAGCAGTGAAAAAAAAAGGTGAAGTCAATCTCCTTTGCCAGTTTCCTTGGGACCTGCGGTATAGCGTGTACAGTGGAAACCCAAATTGGGATCGCGCTGGGATGAAATTAAGCCAAGGGTGAAATCGAGCTCTTATGTTCAGAAATGGCCGGCGGCGAGTAATTTCTGCCACAGTTGAGGTCTAGCTGTTTCTTCATCCCTACGGTATTTTCGGCGATGGAGTAATACTCTGCTAGCAACCCTTCATGACATGAGTCTGGTAAGTCAGCAGTCTTATCTCAATTACATTTGGATAAATCGTGGATGAAATCCGATAGAAGAAGCAGAGAGTATGAACTAGGAGTGGATGAATTGTTAAGGTCTGCAAGTGAAAACAGATTTGAGGGACAAAAAATTAGTTGTCCATGTATAAAGTGTGTTCACACAAAATCCTGGAACACACAAACAGTTAGGGCACATCTTTTCCAACATGGTATTGATGAATCATATACATGTTGGATATGGCACGGAGAGCTAAATCCAGATGATGAACCCCCTCACCCACACAATAAACGTGTTCATGACTCATTTGACGATGGAACAGAAGAAAACAGCGAAGAAGATGGTGAGGACAGGTCTTTTGAATACTCTGATTTCATGAACCATGTCCAAGGGGATTCTGAACCCCTTTACCCGGGATGCAAGACCTACACTAAGCTGAAGGCACTAGTGAAATTATGTAACTTGAAGGCAAAGCATGGGATTTCTGATTCATGCTTCTCTGAAATTCTGCTTTTGCTGGGGACATTTCTCCCAAAGGGCAACTCCCTGCCTTCGTCATTTGGTGAAGCAAAGAAGACCTTATGTGCTTTAGGTATGGATTATCAAAAAATACATGCATGCTCAAATGATTGTCTTCTGTATTATGGCAAGAGAGATGAAGATAGTACAACATGTCGCATATGTGGGATCTCTAGATGGAAGTTGAATAGAAAGGGCAAAGAATTGGAAGGGGTACCCGCTAAGGTTTTGTGGTATTTTCCTTTACTTCCGAGGTTGAGGAATTTCTTTAATACACCACATATTGCAAAGGATATGACTTGGCATGACAGCGAATGACAAAAGGATGGCAAGATTAGACACCCCGCAGACTCAAAAACATGGAAGGATGTTGACAGTCGGTGGCCTGAATTTGCTTCTGACACAATGAACCTTCGGTTAGCTTTATCAACTGATGGATTCAATCCATTCCGTGGAGTTTCTACAACGTACTCATGCTGGCCAATTTTAATATCGATTTACAACTTACCACCTTGGTTGTGTATGAAGAGAAAGTATATAACCTTAAGCATGTTGATATCAGGACCAAATCAGCCCGGAAACAACATTGATGTCTATCTTCAGATGGTAGTTAAAGACCTTCAAAGGTTGTGGATTGGTGTTCAAGTCTATGATGCGTACAGAAAAGAGTTCTTCACATTGCGGGCAGTTTTAATTTGTTGTGGACAATTAGTGATTATCCTGCATTGGGTAATTTGTCAGGCAATGTTGTAAAAGGCTATAATTCATGTGTTGTTTGTGGTGATAAAACAAATGCTATCAGGTTGCGTAATTACCATAAGATGGTGGTTATGAAGCATCGCATGTGGTTGCCACGAAAACATCCATATCGAAGGCAGAAAGCAGCCTTTGATAACACAGTGGAAAAGAATGCAGCTCCTATCCCATTGACTGGGGAAGAGGTATATTTACATGTGCAATCGTTAAGTGACCATGTCTACGGGAAGACACAACCACATCCTCGTCTAAAAAAAGGAGACATCCGACCTACTTGGTGTTAGTCGGTTTAGTCGTTGTGCCCACGCCTTAGAGGGGGGGTGAATAAGGGTGTTTGCAAATTTTTCGTAAAAACAAAAACTTATGCGCAAAGTAGTAGCGGAAAAAGAGCAAGAAAGATATAAAGGATAAAAATACGACACAAGCGATTTTATACTTGTTCGGGAACTCCCTACTCCAGTACCTCGAGGCTCCTCCTCAAGGATTTCCGAATCCACTAAGTTTCGGCCTCTTGAACTTCGTCAAAGCACCGCACTAGTTTTGGCAAACAACCCTTGTCAATAGGATTCACTCCGAGATTTCACAACGGCTATCTCGAACCGTTTACAATGAAGATTTAACGGCTATCTTCTACCGCTCCCCCAAGGATTTCCAAGGCTATCCTTGAACCTTTACCCAAGGATTTATACGGTTATCCTTAACCATTACAACGTGAGAATTTAACGGCTATTCTCGACCGTAAGAAGGTGTGTTTGAAGAACACAAACAAAGGTTCTACACAACGGCTAGAATATAAAAATGAAGAACAAAACTTAGCCGGTGTAGAAGGAAAGTATACTCTCTCAAAAATACAATTCAAACTTATGAATATGAGAGTATATAACTAGAAACACAAGCTCAAAGTGTGTGTATAAAATTCAGGAATTTAAGGCTCTTGAAATAGCCAAAATATTGAAAATAATTAATAAAAGGATGAACACACTTAGAATAAAAAGAGAGGATGTTTAGAGCTTTGTTTCTTGTTAAAACATGAAGTATTAGGCCTATATTTATAGTGGAAGATGTTAATTAGCCGTTAGGAGGTGATTAGAGTTGAATTAATTCAAAAATCAGCAATCAGGAATAGTGTTCCAACGATAACGGTACCCTGTCACGGTAGCAAGGTCCCGTACGGTAGCTAGGTTTTCTTCTCAAGCCAAAACTCTTTAGCGGTACCTATACACGGTAGGGGGGTCCCGTCCATACGGTAGGGGGTCCCGTATCAGATTAACTCACGGTACCCCTCACGGTACCTAGGTACCTTATGACCATTTTGACAATTTTTTCATTTTTGTCCAAATCATTTCCAATTTTGTTTAAAACCTTTTGAATGTTTGAAAATGATTATAAAAGGGTTTTAAACATATTTCGTGAGTGTTTTTGAGCTTGTGAATATAGGTATATAAAATCATATCCTTACATCGGTTTCTACCTAAATTCTACGCTAGTTTAGTGTTTCGACTTCATTCTTGAGAACCGAATCTTAATGGATTCTTGTTGTACCTAAAACACTTAAACAAACGTCAAGCTCTTATATTGTTTGTTAACATCAAAACATGAGGCTTAGCAAACCAAGGCTAACACTTGGAAGAAGATGTCTATTTTTTTTAAACTGGAATATTGGAAATTTCTACCAGTAAGGCATGTTCTTGACGTAATGCATATTGAGAAAAATATATGTGAGGCATTAATTGGTACGTTGCTTAATATACCAGGGAAGACAAAAGATAGGGAATCTGTGCGTATCGATATGGCTGAAATGGGTATTAGAACGGAGTTGATGCCCAAAAATCCAGGAAAAAATGAGAAGTTACCAATGGCATCTTGTAACTTATTGCACAAAGAAAAAAAGATACTTTGCTCATCTTTGATTGGCATGAAGTTACCTGAAGGTTTTTGCTCTAACGTCAAGAGTCTAATATCGATGGAAAATCTTCGAGTTGTCGGGATGAAGTCTCATGATTGTCATACAATGTTGCATCACTTGCTCCCCATTGCAATACGATTGGTGTTACAAAAAGATGTGCGGTCCACTATTATTAGGTTTTGCCTCTTCTTCAAGGCAATTTGTAGTAAAGTCATTGAGGTCGATAAATTGGAAAAAATGCAATCCTAGTTGGTAGAGTCTTTATGTTTTGCTTGAAAAACATTTCCCTCCTTCTTTCTTTGATATAATGGTCCATCTATCAATTCATCTTGTGAGAGAAGTCGAGCTTTGTGGGCTAGTTTGGCTACGTTGGATGTATCCTTTCGAAAGAGAAATGAAGATATTCAAGGGATATGTACGCAATCGTGCTTATCCTGAAGGTTCAATTGCCGAAGCGTATATTGCAGAGGAGGCAATTGAGTGTTTAGTGAGTTCTGAAGATTGTACAGTAGGATTGCCAAAACGTTTC